TTTTTTTTTTTTTTTTTTTTTTTTTTTTTTGAAATTGTTTTAGCCTTTCCTTTTTTTGTTCTTTTATTAATCTGATTTGACCTGATCGAATAAGCAAAAGAACATTTTAATAAAAATGGAATAAAATGACTGACAAAATAGGAACAGTTGTTGTCATACTGTATTTTATTTTATTTTATTTTATTTTATTTATTTATTTTTTTTTTTTTTTAGTTTTATTTTTTTTTTATTTATTTATTTATTTTTTTTGTCATTTGGATACGCCTCTGTAATCTCAACAGAATCTGTTTACCTATTTATTTCTTTATTTGTTTTTATTTTATTTATAATGCTTTTTTTTCAAATTTGAAATTTCTAATTTTTTTATTTTTACTGATTCTTCAATACTTTCTCTACAAAAAAAGTTTTTTTTCTTACATTTGATTTTAAGAAAAAAGAAAAGTTAATTAGAATTTTTTGTTTTACGCTTAACATCTAACGTCAAATCAGTACAGTGTGAAATTTAATTCAGTTCCGGTTTTTTGGCGCGTAGTTTCAGAGTTTTCTTATCGTTTTCATTAGCGTTAATCTTTACGTGTCAATGAGCGTATTTTCTTGCGTATATGCGCACGCGTATTTGTGTTTCTGCGCGCATACCTGCGCGCACGCGCGTTTGTGTTTCTGCACGCATACCTGTGCTCGCGCGTCAGCATGTCTGCCTCAATTTCTGTGGATTCGTGCGTGTGTTTTTGTGTGTACAACGAAGAATGTATAAACATTTTTACTTAGAAATATTTTGTGTAAATATAAAAAAGAAAAAATATACAAAATATATACGGTGATTAATTGATAAATTAACGGGGAAATTTTTCTTAGTTTTTTTATAATGTAAATATAATTTTTGCTTGTACTGGTTTAAAACAGTCAACCAATTAAGCTGTGGTTCAGTTCAATTGCTTGTTTGTTCTAATTTTATATCTTTGTTTTTTTTTTTTAAATTGTTTTTTCTTTATTAGTTGTTGAGGAGAAGCAATAATTTTTTTGCTTGTCTTTTTCAGCTCAATAAAAAATTACATTCCAATAAATTACTGTATTTTTTCTTTTTTTGTATATGTATATATTTTCTTCACTTTCACAAGGTTTTATTTTTACACAGTATATTTGATTTGACGAAATTTTTTAAAAGTTTTGAAGAAGAACAAAATGAATATTTTATTTTTCAATAATTATTTGTGATTTTGTAACAAATGAAAAAAAAAAGAAGAAAACAGAAAAAAGATAATATTACATTTTTTTTCCGACCACTGTTTTTTTTTTTCAATTTTTTGGTTAAATAAGAAATGGTATATCATTCAGGAATCGCAGATGTCTAGTTTGATGTCTAGTTTCCTCGATGACAGTAAATGGTAGTGCACAATTCTGGTTTGTTGGTCATTAAGTTACGTAACTTGTTGTTCATCCATAGATAGTTAGGGTTGGTCAGTAGTTTGTTATGGATTTGTCTGCCGATTTAAATATGGGTCTGTGTTGGTGATTGTGTGCGCGCATCTGTGAGCGCTTCTCTCTGTGTCTGCGTGTACTTCAGAATATGTTTCTGGTTTTGTGATAATTGTTTTTTCACTGTTTTTTTCCCTTTTTTTTGGTTTTTTCAAACTGCCAGCTGCAATTTAGCGTAATTGTTAAATGATGTTTCTGTTTTAAAGTTATGCTAAATTTTCTCATCAATTTTGTTTATCTTCTACTGTTTTTTCTTCTTTTTTTTCTCACATTGTTTCGACTCTTTTTAACCAACTTTACGAAAGGACGTTTATGCAGAAGAACAAAAGAAACCAGCGTAGTCAAAATGATCTGCTCATGCGAACAATTTTTTGCATAACTGCTTTTTCAAAAATATATTCCGGAATCATTGTGTATGATTCTGAGATAACAGGAGTGCGAAAATGAAAAGGATTTTGTTTTAGAAATTGCTAGTCACTAAAATCTCTAATTTAGATAGTTTCTATTTTCCTATTTTTTAAATTTTTTAGGAGAAGTGGGGGAGTTACAGTTGGTTACATCTCGGAACCTTGATGATGGCTTTATTTGTTTCGCATATACAACTATTTTTCTTTCTTCTTCGTCTTTATCGTATTCTTCTTTCTTTTGATTCTGTACTGTAGAAAAAAAATTAAAAATTTTAGCTCTTTTTTTCATCATTTTTTACTTACTGTTGTAATTTATCGTTAGGATATTTCATCATCAAAATATGATGTGTGGTGTTGGTTAATACCACAAGATTTAGAAGACAAAGAATCAGTAAATGAGAGAGAAGAGTGCTCGAGGAAACTTAAAAAAAAAGGAACAAATTTAACAGAAAAAAGGCTTTTTTCGTTTAATTATATTTTACTTGAAGATCAAAAAAGAAAAGCAACAACAACAGAAAAGAAAAAAAAAAAGAAAGAAAAACTGAACTGTTTTTTTTCCTCGCATCAGCTGTATCTGTCAGATGAGATTAGAGGTTTAATTTGTGTCTATGTATATTATCCGGTTTTGTTTCTTTGTTTGTTTGTTTCTTTGTTTGTTTGTTTGTTTGTTTGTTTGTTGTCTTTGTCTTTTTTTACTGGGGAACACATAAAATGAATAACAGAAATAAATAATTAAACGAATAAAATAAAAATAAATAAATGATGTTTTTTTTGCATTGCATCTGTTCATTTTTTATCTTTTTTACTACTTCACCGAGAAAAAAAACAAAGGAAGAAAATACAGAATTAAATTGTGTATTAATGGTTTCTGATTACAGGTACCCAATATCTAATTGCATTGTTTGATTAATCAAAAAATTTATTTTTATGTAGAAAAGCTTTATGAGGACTATTATTGTATATATAACTGTGGTTGACAGTTGTTGGAAAGAAAAGGTTAAAGAGTTAACGATTGAAGTGAAGTGCATAAAATTAATGCAAATTTATCCACTCTTTCAAAGCATCATTTAGCAAAAAAAAAAAAAATCTACTGTGCATGCATTCTTATCTGTACACGTACTAGCAGCTGTAATTTACGATTGCAGTAATTTGGTTGAAAACGATGGATATAGAAAATTACTTTTCTAAAAATACATATTCGAAAATTCGCTTAAGCACACAGACTCAGATAAATATTCATTTTTATACTTTGTGTCAACTATTTGATAGTAGAAAAAAAAAAGAATTTTGATTACGAATACGGATTATTACAGGTGCAAAATTATAGTGTATTCTCACCACAAATTATTGTTGCATTTTGCATTTCAAATGCAACTGTTTATCAACAAAGGGAAAAAAAAGTGTCCTGATTTATTCGTTCTTCATCAGTGATCTATAACTCATCAATTTAGATTGTTCACTGAAAGTGATACTTGTGAAACAGAATAATTCTTTTCTTCTCGATTCTTATTGAGTGAAACAGTTAATTAACCGTTCAAACTTGTTAATCAGCTGATAAACAAAACTGCAAAAGTTTTATATTGTTTAGCAACATCTGAGAAGCATCACCCACTATCTTATATTATTAAAGCTTTTTGTCATTTCAACAAAAATATGAAAAAAAAATTTGTGCTGTTAATGATTTGATTACGGCATTTGCTTGCAACTGTTCAATTACTACAAATATAGTTGTTCACTCAATTCAATTTTAGCCAACGACAGCTAGACTCGACTTCAGTCTTTGTTCTGTCATCATTGGTTTTTGAAATTTTTACTGGAGAGGTCCAAAAAAAAATACAACATTTGTTTCTTTCATTAATCACATTTTTCTATTTTTCAATTTTTTTCTTTCTGTTCCTCTGGTC